GCCTGGCCCCCCAATATTTCCAAATTATCTCTTGTCTCTTCTCTTTCATTTGTGTGTGGCTCCTCTTCCAGATCCTGAACCCTGAATCACGCGGGACGTGGGGGGAACAAACATTTACAACAGTGGGGTCCCTTGGCTTGGCTGGCGATTGGGGCTGATTGGGGCCATCTTACCCAGTCCCAATGGGGCTGATCTGGGCCGGCCGGCGGGACCATGGGAGGTTGGCTGTGGGAGCGCACTGACCACCAGGGGGCAGTTGTTTGGTCGTAACAGTCACTTAGGCATATATATAAGTGTGTATATATAGACTAGAGGCCAGGTATAGAAAATTTGTGCATGGGGGAGTGGGAAGGGAGGTGTCCCTCAGCCCGGCCTTCACCCTCTCGCAATCCGAGACCCCTCGGGGGATGTCTGACTGCCAGTTTAGGCCCGATCCTGGCCTAAACTGGCAGTCGGACATCCCTCTTGCAATCCAGGACTGCTGGTTCCTAACCGCTTGCCTGCCTGCCTGCCTGCCTGATCACCCCTAACCACCTTTGTCTTGGCCCCCACACCCGGGACCCAAACTTCCCTCCTCTGGCTGGCCGCAGGAAACTGGGACCCGGGCTTCCCTCCCTCTGGCCAGCTGCGGGCACCTGGACTCAGGCCGGCTTTGCCCAGGCCAGCCTACAAGCATCCGGGACCTGGGCCGGCTTTGCCTGGGCTGGCTGCAGGCACCCAGGACCCGGGCAGGCACCCAGAACCTCGGGCAGCGCTGCCTGGGTGGGCCGCAAGCACCTAGGACCCGGGCGGCGCTGCCTAGGCCCCAGCTTTGTCAGGAATGACGTCTGGAAGACGTCTGGTCTATCTGGTCTAATTAGCATATTACCCTTTTATTAGTATAGATACCTCTTAAAGGCAGGGTCTGCATTATTGACCTGTTCCCTATAAAGTTTCTAATACACAGTAAATGCTGTGCAGTTGATTTAAAGCTTTATTTTTGATAAATTAAGAAATCAAATGGTTCTAAGTCTACAGGTGTTTAATCAGCAAACCATGTGGAGACAAAGGGGACCCTTTGTAAGGACGTGAATCAATTCTTCTGTAGTTGAATCTCGAAATCAGAGTTGTGACATAAACTCCCTGCTGAATGGGTAGGGAGGACGGACACTGAGCATAACATGGATAAGGATACTTTTTGGCAAAGAAAAGGGATTCTTTCTCCAGAGTCCACTCACTGTACTTTCTCAGAAATAGCTTCTTTTACTTTTAATACATTATTTTTGTGCATGTATTTGCTAGAATGTTATACCATTTGGTTTCAGTTCTAAATCATCTACATATGCTTTACTTAACTACTTTAAGCAGCATCCAATCCACATGTCAAATGTCATCTGGAGGCAAATGATCACTTGGCTAGAAAACCTCTGGGGACAGGGCAGGGGAGGGAATGAAGTTCCTGGAAAAATCCCAACATGCAAGTTTCTTCTCTGTAAGGGAAAGTCCCGGATGTTAGCAGTACTGGGCTGTTAGGAATTCATCTACAGGTTTACTAAGTGGTTCTCAAAGCGAATGAGTATGCTGGCGTGCCGCACCCACGCAGCCAGCATGAGACATGGCGCACAGGAGTCGGGCTCCAGCAGCCCTGCGGCTCCCAGCCTCGGTGTGGGGGCTGGGCCCGTCTCAGCTTGAAGAAAACGTAAGTCACTAACCTGCAGTGCTCACCATGTACTTCCACTTGACCACATAGGCGTCCCCTTCGTGGAACTGCCCAATGCTCTGTTTGGGGAGCCTGCTATAGTCGAATTCGAGGATATGCCAGACATCCACCGAGACACTGGCAATCTCAAAGTGCCTGCGGTCATCCCCTTCCACTAGGCCATAGCCACGGCCCACATTCACCCCGTCCAGCACAGTGCCAGCTGTCGTCTGGGGCACTGGCACCATCCGGGTCACATCGTATGGCTTGACTTCAGCCCTAGGATCTTCCTACAGGGAACATAAAATGTTTGGTCAGTTGCCTATTTTTCCAGCCATTTTGTCTCACACTCCATGCTGCTTCACTGTCAACCAGATAGTGTAAGAGCACAGCTTTCACACTGTGTCCCAGGGCATTGAACTGCAATAGGGAAAGGCTGAATTTATGGGAAAGACTTGGGGAGGCCTGAATATCTACCCCACCACAGTGAGCGGGACATCCATAAACCCAAAGGTGCAAACAAGGCTATTTTCACTCTTTGACTAGGAATATAGTAGGAAACTGGTTTGCTGTTCTACTAGTAAATCCTGGGAAGTCTTTTAGCTTTCAGGCCTCTTTTGTTGGGACCTAACCCAAGCCCTGAGGTTTGAGACCTGGCCACTCGGAATACCTTCTGCTGGGCAAGTTCACTGGCGTTCTTCTCATTAGGTCTCTTCAGTTCAGTCCAATCGAGAAACTTTTCTTTGAACAAAATAGTCTCATTGTGTTCTGTAAGTCTCCCAAATATTGCCCAATCAGGCCGCCCCTGTCCTTTTCTGCAGGTAGGTAGGTGGGGGTGCAGACAGGAAAAGAGCCATGGTTAAGCCATGATAAAACAAAGGAAAGGAATCTAAAACAAACACATGTGGTTATTGGAAAAAAACAAAACAAAACAAAAAACACCCAAAATATATAAGTAGTATATAGAATGGTTTGTTCTTTCTTATTTTACCAAATAAGTGACATTTTATTATTTTAGCCCGAAGCCTTGCGAACCTTTGTGTCCACAGAAATAGGAGCTGAAATGCAATAAGGACCACGTCAGAACTGGACTTTTCTTGCATCCTAGCAAGTTCTCGTGTTTGGGATAGCCTGGGGGTTGTGCACTAGGCTGGGAGCAGGTGAGGCAGGAATTACATGCATATCTTCCTGGCCTCCTTCATGCCGCCCACAGGCACCTCAGCTGCTCACCAAGTTTCTGTAAGGTGGAATAGATGGGAGTTCACCTGAACGCTATTATTTTAAGTCATGTTACAACAAACTCTCCAGTCTAACTCTCCTCTGTTACTAAACTGAACATAATTTCATATACCATGAAGTTAAGGTTTGCATATTTATTTCTAGGCCCCTGGACGTGACAGTAGGCAGGGAGAGCACAAGGACACAGGGAAGGAAGTGACACAGCCCAATCTGGAGGTCTGTTTCTGTCTCAGTATCTCAGAATGTGAACCTGTGCTTGAAACAAAAGGTGACCGAGAGAAAGGTACTGGCATACCTCAGAGATACTGTGGATTGAATAAAGCAAGTCATAATCTTTTTGCTGGTGGAGGGTCTTGCCTTCAATGTGTAACACTCAACATCTGTGAAGCGCAGTGAAATGAGGTATGCCTGTACATCTGAGAAAATACATGCTATGGAGGGTCCAGCCCTAAGAAGGTGCAGGCATTTCTCATCCTTCCAAGTCAACCATTGGTTGCGAATTATGACCAGGATGCATATGATGCCTCAGGCAGTGCTCGCTGGGCCCTGCTGTGGCTCCTGTTTTGGACCAGACTATAGCTTCTGGCCCAAAGGCACATCACAGAGGCTGCCTGTCTCAAAGGAGACCAAAGCAGGGTGCAGATACTGCTGCTGCATTCTCCCAGGGGACTTAAGAAACCAAATATCAGCAATGATGGAAAATGCAGGACTCTTTGGAAAGGCTGTGGTCTTCATCAGAAATGTCTGAATGGCTGTCTTTTATATAAATTTGACTCTGCAGACTTGCTAAGATGCCTGGAGGAAATGCACTCGATGTCAGCTTTAGAAACGTATCTTTGAAGTTGTGAGGTTGCACACATACGAGAGGGAACAGGCCTCAGTGTGACAGTGGGAACAGGAGTGGGAGCAGGTGTGCTTGTCCCCATCTCTACGAAACACACTATCCAATTGTGCTAAGTCATGACACATCAGTGGTTTCAGCCTCCTTGTTTCTTAAGAAGGGCTAGATGCTTAATCTTGGTGCACCTTAAAATGTCTAGAAAGCTTTTAAGACATACTGATACTACACACAAATTGAAAACACATCTCTGGGGCTGGGGCTGACACATGCATTTTTTAGAAAAACTCCTCAGCTGATTCTGATCTGGCAGATGTTGAAAACCAGGGGACTGAGTGCTCCCTCAGCTGCTTCCAGATCTGTAGGCATGTCACTGCTAAATAGGAATTGTTCATCATACAGATTTTATGCCCCCGCATTGTATTTTTAATTTATTATACTAAGTAAAAGATTTTTTTAGGCCTTCGCTTCTGTCTGTAAAACGCTAGTTATTACAGTACTAATTTTAGGTTAAATGTGATTAAAAAGATTTGAAAACTTTTCACCTTATATCAACAGAATTTTTAATAGTTTCTATTTGATAATAATAAAATCAATAACTTGATTTTAAAACAGAAAACTAGGTAGGAAAGTTGAAATTTGTATACTAGTTCAATGGAAACCATTAAAATGCAGTTGTGTGATACCTATGCACACCTATTTCTATGACACACACTTCTTTTTTTTCTAGTTGTTAAGAAAAAAACAAGCCCTTTGCATAAAGAATTATTTTTCTTATGATCACATTTCTTTGAGTTTGTGCATATTCTTAGGATTTGCCAAATTACTTTAAAAAGTCCAGTATGCTGTAGAAAATAATATTACAATCATTATTTTAATTCCATATCATCCCTCTCCTTCTGAGAGAAGGCATAAATGTCACCTACTGCCAAATAAATGATAAACCCTGGAATTCAAGAGCCATGCCGGGAGAGTGTGAAGTTAGAAGGAAATGTATTGCTTTTGCACCTTCAGATCAATGGCTGAATTCCAGACCCTAGGAAGTTTTCAGATCAACATGTAATTTGTTTAAACAATTGCTATTCATCTGTCAATAGCACCTGGAATGCTGCAGGTGAAAATAATTTGTTCACTTCAAGACATGAAATATAACAAACATCTTCCAGAAGACATCTGTATTTCTGTATTACTTAGGCAAAAGCTAAAGAAATGTTCCTTTGTAAATATTCATGGTACTGCACAGCAGTCATTTGTGAAAACAAAAACCTATGAAGAGCAACAGTAGCCAACTGGGGTGAGAACTGAGGTCCCTGAGGGAATCTGCTCGCTCTACATGAGAGATCACAGGAGTACCTGGGAATAAGTGTATTGCATTCTCCAGGATCCAGTGGGTTAATGTCACAATTCTCATAGTCAAAGGTTCCATTCCATAAGTGCTTTGCGAGCTGAAATGCTATTTTCCGTTGTGCCAATGTAACTTCTTTTCCATGCCACACGTAAACTTCACTACCAAAATCAAACACCAGTACCTGGGAGAATGGCACAGAAGAATTTATTAACTTCAAGGATAAGCTCCAGTTGAATCAGGCTCCCTACTGACAGTGAATCAAATGGGTGATGATACAAACCCAGGTGGAGCAATCAATACAAACACAAAAAGATAACAAGATCTACCAGCTGGAATTTCCAGCCAGCCTCTACCTGATGGGTAGGATTCTGTTTCATTGTCCTAAATGACCAAGTTAATGTTCCCTCCTCTAAACTCTCAAACCACCCAAAACTTCTGATTTATCAGAGTTAAGGCCATCTTCCTATCATCCTTCCCTTTTCTCCCTTTTCTCCCTCCTTCCCTCCCTTTCTTCTTCTATTCATTCATCTAGTATATACAGGTTACTTCATATATTCCAGGCACAGAGATGACAGGTGTCATCTCTCCTCTATATAGTTCCAAGACCCCCAAGGGCAGAGACCATACCATACTTATATTTACAGCAGGGTTTACTCTTTGCTGAATGAATACATGAATGAGGTACTATCTCTTATTTTCAAGCCTATGGTTTGTTCTACTCTTTCTTCCTAGAATAACGTCTCCCTTCATTTCCAATAATCCAAATTCTACTTAATTTTAAACAAGGCTCAATTTCACTTTCTCTTTAAAGTTATTCCTGATTATTTCTGTGACTGTTTTTCCCCCCATTTAAATGCCCATACAATCAATCTAGCTTCAGATTACAGTCTTTATAATACTCTTCTATTCAATAAAATTTTGAGTAGCACTTTTTCTCTCAACACTTAGATTACTTACTTAATGGACCTGGTAAAGTATGTATTTAATATTTAGGGGGTGAGAGAAAAAAAGGACATATAGAAAGAATATATATATATATATATATATATATATATATATATATATATATATATATATATATATATATATATATATATATATATATATATATATATATATATATATATATATATATATATATATATATATATATATATATATATATATATATATATATATATATATATATATATATATATATATATATATATATATATATATATATATATATATATATATATATATATATATATATATATATATATATATATATATATATATATATATATATATATATATATATATATATATATATATCAGCGCCATATGCAAATTTGCATACTGCAGGCAGGGCTGGCCAGCGCCGGATGCCATCCGGGCCCCATGTGCAGCCCTGGCTGGCCGGCTTAGGCAGTGCAATTGCGTCACCTAAGCCCCACCCCAGCCCAGACCCCCGTGTGCCGCCTAAGCCCTGTGCGCCTAAGCCTTGCCCCCAGCCGGGACCCCCGTATGCTGCCTAAGCCCCATGCCGCCTAAGCCCCGCCCCGAGCCGGGACCCCCGTGTGCGACCCTGCACGCGCCAGGGCTTGGCAGTGAGATTGGCCCGAGGAAGCCCTATTCTTGCAGGAATATTTCTGCAACGGGCTTCTAGTATACACACACACACACACACACACACACACACACATACATATATATAGCTTAAAATAGAAAAAGCCTCTCTAATTTATTGAACCTCCTCTGAACAATATTCTAAATTCTATATTAGTAATCAAGATGGAAGTAATGGTTGGAAATTACAAATGAATATCCTTTCAAAAGATGTTACCAATCCACAACGGTACTGACGATAGCTAGCATTTATGGGGCACTTGCTATCTATTTTATTTGGGCAGCCCTGTGCAGACTGCTCCGCCCACTCCCTATACCTCTTTTGATTGCAGAAGGGAGCACTTTGGGATTTTCCCCCAGAAGTCGTCATCAGGAACAAGCTTGTCATCCACCAGACGGTAAGTGCAGTTTGTTTCTATTATGGCTGTTTCATACAGTTCGTCTTCCTTTGGGTCTCCAGCAGCTTTGGGATACGAACAATGAGAGGGTATTACATTAAATGCTGAAATGGGGCTGGTTTAGAAGGATGAAGTAGGGGAGAAGAAAGGATATTTAAGTTTTGTCATTCTCTGAAATACAGTAAACTCTTACATTGGTAACTGGTTTGGCCACCCAGAAGCTTCCAGAAATCTTTGGCTGCATGAGTGTGTGTATTAATTCCTTCTTCAATAGTTTGGATATAAGTAGCTCTACAACCAAGTTCCCTCTTTGTCTGAATTAAAGTTGCAAGTTCTGAGGCCTGAAAAAAGGGAGGAACACCATTATCTGGGTAGACAGCCTGTGGCTAGCTGGAGAGGCACACTCTGAAATCCAAGACCAGAAATGGTGTGTATCTGAAGGAAAACCTGGTGTCCAGGAGCCCAAGGCATGGGTGGTTGAATATTTTCAACAAAATCAAGAAAATGTAACTAAACAATCAGAGATATCAATTCTTTAGAGCTACAGTTCTTAATATTCAAATTCAATAGATCACATAAATTGGTAAAAACTACCTGTTCTCTCGACTTTCCCCCATGAGATCCTCATTCACTGGGTCTTGAGCAGGATTTCACAGGGACCTGGGATAAGCAACTTTGAAGTGATGTGCCAGTTCTTTTTTTACACAAGAATGAGAGCAAAACCAGGACTTCAAACCTGGAGGGATAGGTAACAATCCCCCTAAATTACCACACGTGAACACCTAATGAAAGCTTGTTTGAGACAAGTTCAGAACAATATCTATCTCTTCTCACTCAAATGAAACTGGGCACTTGAGAAGTTTTGCAATCATCTGGCAACTGGTAGAAGATTCTGTCAGTGTATAAAGGAGATGCTCAACTAAACTATATTATTTTTCAGATACCAACCTTTGCCTTTTCTATGACATTTGCAAACTCTCCCACCCACAGGAAGCAGCAGTGGGGAGAGAGCAGGAGGAAGCAGTCCCCGCTGTTGAGTGACGAAGCTCGAGGTTCCACCAGTCTTGTCTGCACATGTCTTCTTCCTGAACACAAGGCAAAGAAACACCATCTCCCAGAAAGGAGAACTCTCCCAGCCACAGGAAGGACCAGAAAGTGCCCCATCTGAGCATCGCTTTCAATTCTAAAGAGTCTGGCCTATTTATACTAGTTCCCATGACTGGGAATGACAGAGGGGGATTCAGAATGACAGCATCATAGATTACGTTCCTTTTAGTGCCTTCCCAGATGCCACCATGTCCTCTGGACCACTGTCAGTGCCCTGTTACAGCACATATATGGGTTAGTTGGGGTTCCTTCCTCCAAGAAAGACAGCACCATGCTCCTTTCCCTTGTTCACTCATCTCCTAGTCTCCGCAGGTGAAAGTGTGCCTTTCATAGCTTCTGCTTCCTCCAGAGTTTTTGGCTGGGAATTCTTAGGGGCATCAGCCTAGAGGCAAGCACTGCCTTGTAGATCTTCCTACAATCACCCTGACAGTGTCATCTCCGGGTTATAACCAGAAATAGAGGCTGGTTATTGGAGCCTGTCACTGGGAAGGACAGTGGACATGCACAACATACAAGAGACCCTCCCAGACAGAGGAGATTTCAGCTATCCTCTCCTGGTGATTAATCTTGAGCAGTTGCCACTGGGACACAGCCAAATCTGCCCTCACATGAACACCTAATGAAAGCTTGTTTGAGACAAGTTCAGAACAATATCTATCTCTTCTCACTCAAATGAAACTGGGCACTTGAGAAGTTTTGCAATCATCTGGCAACTGGTAGAAGATTCTGTCAGTGTATAAAGGAGATGCTCAACTAAACTATATTATTTTTCAGATACCAACCTTTGCCTTTTCTATGACATTTGCAAACTCTCCCACCCACAGGAAGCAGCAGTGGGGAGAGAGCAGGAGGAAGCAGTCCCCGCTGTTGAGTGACGAAGCTCGAGGTTCCACCAGTCTTGTCTGCACATGTCTTCTTCCTGAACACAAGGCAAAGAAACACCATCTCCCAGAAAGGAGAACTCTCCCAGCCACAGGAAGGACCAGAAAGTGCCCCATCTGAGCATCGCTTTCAATTCTAAAGAGTCTGGCCTATTTATACTAGTTCCCATGACTGGGAATGACAGAGGGGGATTCAGAATGACAGCATCATAGATTACGTTCCTTTTAGTGCCTTCCCAGATGCCACCATGTCCTCTGGACCACTGTCAGTGCCCTGTTACAGCACATATATGGGTTAGTTGGGGTTCCTTCCTCCAAGAAAGACAGCACCATGCTCCTTTCCCTTGTTCACTCATCTCCTAGTCTCCGCAGGTGAAAGTGTGCCTTTCATAGCTTCTGCTTCCTCCAGAGTTTTTGGCTGGGAATTCTTAGGGGCATCAGCCTAGAGGCAAGCACTGCCTTGTAGATCTTCCTACAATCACCCTGACAGTGTCATCTCCGGGTTATAACCAGAAATAGAGGCTGGTTATTGGAGCCTGTCACTGGGAAGGACAGTGGACATGCACAACATACAAGAGACCCTCCCAGACAGAGGAGATTTCAGCTATCCTCTCCTGGTGATTAATCTTGAGCAGTTGCCACTGGGACACAGCCAAATCTGCCCTCACAGCCCAGAGCTAGGTCTCCCTTGCTATGGATAGAAAGGGTGATGAAGTGGAATCCGGGTCTACCTCACTTGCTCTGCTTCCTCTGTATTCCTTCTCCAAGGATGCACCTCTCTCCCTCTGCCCTGCATTGACTCTTGTTTGCCTCAGGGAGGCAACTGTGTGGAGAGAACACTTGACAACTTAGGGGGTCTGGTAACTGCCTGACAGTGTGTGGCAGGGGCCATGGGGCAAAGGGGGCAGCTGCCCAAGCTGTTTCTTAAATGGGAGAGACCTAGGTTCAATGCTGCTCAACAGCTGCTGACCACAGGCAGATTACTAACCCCCTAAGCCTCAGTGGTACGCCACCTCATGGATTTTATAAAGCTTACTTGAGAGGAGGAAGTTCAGCAGCAGGCGCACAGCAGGTCCTCAAAAGCATGAGGTGAATTCCCTTCCCATGACAGGCAGTTAAGGGCAGTCAGGACCCCTGATGCTGCCTGACTGAAGCCCCAGCCCAGATGTAACTCCTCCTGCTCTTACATACCTTTGATCTGCAACAGCATCAGCTTCTTGTAGGGCACTGCGCTGTTGTTAGAATTCTGTTCTGTTAGGTTGACGCTTCGCAGACTGACGCTGCTGAAGTTTTCTTTACTGGCTAAACCTGCCAGGGTGACTTCTGAGAAGTTGGAGTTGGAGGACACTGGACCGATTGAATAAAGAAACAGGAAAGCAAGATGTTCAGGTGAAATGACAATGTTTACAATCAGAAATTATTCATAACCAGCTATCTTTTTCTTTTAAAGTTAATCCTAAGGGGGAGAACATACCCAAGTTTGATTAACTATGCAGAGCAATGCTTAACCCCTGTATTAAAAATTCAACACTGTATTGAAAGTATAAACTGCTGTTGACAAGTGTCACACTTCACCACGTAGAGATAAGCATTGAGTGACAATGTGGCACAGCTACTTTAGCATAAAATGAGGAGGTGGACTCATTTGTTGAAATTCCACTCAAAGCTGTTATAAATTCCTAACAATGTTGAGATGTTGAAAATGCATTCTCAAGGAAGACTGTTAGATGTCTTTCACCAAAAGCCTTTATTTTCTACCAAAAATAGAAAAGCAGGCATTGTATAAGGGATGGTTAATTTACAATATTTTTCTGGAGGCAAAGTGATAAATTACTGATCTCCTGAGGTCCTTTGCTTTCAACTTAAGATTGTAATAACAAGATGCTGAGTTTTCATGTGGACCAACAAACGTATAGGTGCCAGTCACCACAAAGACACCCTTGGCACCCCATAAAGGTGGAAATAGAGGAAAGATATATAAGACTTGTTCCAATAAACCTTCATTTCTCCAACTCATTGTTTTAAAAAAATGTATATGCTGGAAAGGAATTCAGAAAAATTATTTTGCTAGGATTAGGTTCTAATACTGAAGAAATATAACACACCTTGAGAATTGATGTGGCACAGTGATTCTGAAATATACTTTCTGAGTAAACCAGTTATGTTGACAAGACTCAATCACTTTATTTACATACTATATTTCTAAGAAAAACTTTAGGAAATTGGTTTATGAGTGCTATAGGAAAATAAAAATTATATTCAAAATTGAAGAATATTCAAAACAGCACAATTATGTATGTCATTATCACTACCAAGGAAACCTCTGTTTCAAAACTATGAAACTCCACCTTACTGGGCAGGTAAAAGCAGGGCAGCACTGTCACCAATGAGGCACACAGCCTGGAGCCTACCTCCTCATGCTCCTGTCACTGCCCCTCTCTAGTCCTCCCTATCCACCCAGCCCACATCCCATCAAAAACAATTTGCAGAGCACTGGTTTGTGCATTAATTAATAATATAAAAATCTAGGATTAGGCAAAGCAGTGATTTGGCACATTTTTCCTTGAGAGATCAAATGATTTCCTCTTGAATAAGATTAAGTGGAGAATTATTGTGTTTGGGCCCTACAGAGCTGACAATGGGGTGAATTACAAAGCCCAAAAACATCCTTTTCCTCCAATCTCTTGGAAAAATTGCAGCAAATCAGGGTAATTTGAATTTTCCAATTAACAGATGCTTAATGCTGTAAGAATTTCTGTGAAAAGCCTTTACATTCTACACAGATTTTCTGCAGGTGTGCACGTGTGTGCACAAATTTACTCATTTTTATTTAATGGGTGTCTTATGAGCACTATTATTGGCCGTTGCAAGGCAGAAAAAGGAGGACAAAAATCACCACATCACACCTTGGCCAGAATGCTCAGTGGTTAGAGCATCAGCCCACATACCTAAGGGTCTTGGGTTCAATTCCTGATAAAGGGCATGGACCTGGGTTTTAGGTTGAATCCCAGGTCCTGGCCAGGGCACATGCAGGAGGCAAGCAATCAATGTGTCTTTCTCACATCGATGTTTCTCTCTCTCTCTCCTTCTCCCCCACCCTTGTAATCTCTCTAAAAATCAATGGAAAAAATATCCTCAGGTGAGGATTAACAAAAAACTATATATTAAAAAATAAAATAAAATGTGCACCCTCAACTGTTAAAAATATGTCACCACATCACCAGTTTCCAAACACAGAAGCAGGTTGGTGGTTCCAAATACTCACTCTTTTCTACTTTCATCCGTTTTGACTCCATAAAGGCGACATTTAGTCTCTGCTCAGTATATTCCTGAAGGAGGTCTTCTCTTGCTGCCAGCATTTTCAGTGGGTTTTTGGAAGCCTGAACCCGGCGCTTGGGTCTAACTGCACGCTTGTGCTCGGCCACAGAAGATGTCAACCTGAGGAGCAAAGCAGAAATTTGGCCTCGGTCTATAATAACTAACGCCTGGCCTGTTGAGGTTCTCTGACCTGAAGCAATGGGCTCCACAGTTTTATTCTCTGATTTCATTATAAATCTTACAACTCTTCCTCCTGCCCGCCACTCTCCTGACATAAAGTCATAGAATCTTGGGGATGGAAGAGAGATTCAAGGAGAGAGTCATATAGTTTAAGAATTCAGACAATTCCCAATGCCCCCACTCACCCAACCCTGTGGGCTCTGCCTGAAAATCATTAGTCCCTAATGGGGCAGCTTATCCCACTCCTACATAGCTCTCAAGGGTAGGAAGTTCTTCCCCAACCCTATATACCCACAGACCCGTTCCATCTCTGCCCCTAGTAATAATACACATATCTACCTCTTCTGTTACTGGCAGGAATTTACATCCAGCCATTGCTTCTCCATTTTATTCTCTTTCCTCCAGACTAAACTTTCTTTTCACAAAATAATTTTTCAATTCCCTCACCAACTCTCTCATAAAGAGTCTCCTCACAACCCATTGCCCCCCTCCAAAAAATAACTACTATTTTAAAAAATAGATTGAAATAAAATAGGCTCACAAAACCGGCTATGACTGCTACACATTCACACAATTCTGGGGCAGAAGATCAGACACAGGGAGGTGGGTGGACCCAGTCACATGACTTCCCAACAGATTCCTGATGCTGCTCTCAACTTCCAACTGCATAAGTGTCTGCAAGTCTTCTTTATATATAATATTATTGTGTGTGTGTGTGTGTGTGTGCGTGTGTGTGTGTAAACATACACATATATTTAAATTATATATAATGATTTTTAAAAATTTAAACATTTGGGTTGGGAGAAGATTGAGAAATGGCTAAATAACCATGCATGCAAATACCCAAAATATTATTTAAATATGAGAAATGGCAAAATGTTAATTTTCTTAAGGTAGCAAATTAACTAAAAGAAGCATATTGAAATATGCAACAAATATATCAGGAGTAGCTTAAGGAAAAATTTATGATGACTACACAGACTTAAGGAAGAGACTGTCACTCTGATAAATTTGTAGGAAATAGATAAATGTGGCCAATAGCTGTGGGTTTACCCTGTCCAGGGTATTTTCCCTGCTTCTGGTAAGAGCACCCTGACTCTCCTTTGGAGGACTCATATCTCTTTCCATCCCCTGACTCCAACCCTGGCTCAGGATGGGATCCAGAGACCAGCTCTGGCCAATCACTGTCTTGCATCTCCTTGGCCACAATGATTGCTTTAGGGATAGACTCACATCCAAGAAAATCAAGCCTGGAACTTCTGCTGGAACTACTGGGAAGAGAAGCTGCCTATGCTGGAGTGGCCAAGAAAGAGCTGCCTTCAACCCCATGGTCACAGCCCAACTGAGAGTGAAGCAACCCAGAGGAAAGCAGGCAAGAGAGAAACCACATTCTGAAGGAATCATAAACCATAATCGCTTTTCTTAGGTGGCTTAGTCATGTTCCTGTGTGAAGACAGGCCCTTGGACATCTTGAGAAAACTCTCAGATCTACTGATTTTATAAATTACTAGAGGCCCAGTGAATGACATTTGTTCACTGGGTGGCAGGCGTGGCGGGGGGTGGGGTGGGATGAGGTCCCTCAGCCCAGCCTGTGTTCTCTCACAGTCTGGGACCCCTTGGGGGATGTCCAATGGGTCTTTAGCGCTACCATGGAGGCGAGAGAGACTCCTGCCACCGCCGCTGCGCTTGTCAGCTGTGAACCTGGCTTTTGGCTGAGCAGTGCTCCCCCTGTGGAAGTGCACTGACCACCAGGGGGCAGCTCCTGCATTGAGTGTGTGCCCCCTGGTGGTCAGTGCTCGTCATAGCGACCGGTCATTCCACCGTTTGGTCAATTTGCATATTAGCCTTTTATTAAATAGGACTAGAGGCCTGGTGCACAACATTTGTGCACTTGGGGTGGTGGAGGGGGTCCCTCAGCCCAGCTTGCGCCCTTTAAGCAGTTCGGGAGCCCTCAGGGGATGTCTGACTGACAGCTTAGCGCTGCCACGGAGGCGGGAGAGGCTCCCACCACCTCCGCTGCACTCGCCAGCCATCAGCCTGGCTTGTGGCTGAGCTGCACTCCCCCTGTGGGAGCGCACTGACCTCCAGGGGGCAGCTCCTGCGTTGAGCGTCTGTTCCCTGGTGGTCAGTGTGCATCATAGCAATTGG